GGTGGGGCTGGGGATCCGCCTTTGTCCTTTTTCCTGCATACCAGAGGTTTCAAGTTTCTTTGTCCCTTTGCTCCTTGGGAAAGAGATCCTCTCTCCACTGGGCTACAATCCACCACATATATGTGGGGGTTTCAGCCATCCTTATTAAGGAGGAGAGGTTAAAGGAGGCAGAGGTTGGCTTATAATAATAATAATAAAAATAAAGTTGGAAGGGACCTTGGAGGTCATCGAGTCCAACCCCCTGCTCAGGCAGGAAACCTTACACCAGTGTTTCCCAAACTTGACAATTTTAAGGCATGTGGACTTCAGCTCCCAGAATTCCACAGCCCGTCCTGCTCTTCATTAGACTAGAGCAGTGGTTCTCAACCTTTTTAATGCCGTGACCCCCCCCAACCGGTCGTAAATCAAGGACTACTCAACCGGTCGTAAGTCGAGGACTATTCAATTGGTGCAGCACTGTTTACAGAATGGGACTTTTGGCGGGCTCAGCAGGGCAGAGACAGCCTGGACAATTCCTATGGGCTTTTGAAAGCCAATAGAATTAGACTCTATTCAAGAGAGTCTATTTGATTGGCTTTCAAAAGCCAATAGAATAAAAGGGAGTAGCACAGCTAAGGAAAAGGGGGAAAAAATGGCGGACTGCGTTGTTTGGCGACCCCCGTGAAATGGTCGTTCGACCCCAAATGGGGTCACGACCCACAGGTTGAGAACCACTGGACTAGACATATCCAATTCCAGCAACCCTTCCTTATATGTTTTAGCCTCCAGTCCCCTAATTGAAGGGAGACTTGTGTATTTTATTTGCTTATAGTGGTTAAGGCACTTATGTTGTTAGTTGCGAAGTCGTGTCCGACCCATCGCGACCCCATGGACAACGTTCCTCCAGGCCTTCCTGTCCTCTACCATCTTCTGGAGTCCATTTAAGCTCACACCCTCTGCTTCAGTGCCTCCATCCAGCCACCTCATTCTCTGTCGTCCCCTTCTTCTATTACCCAAGGCACTTTCACCCCTACGTTATCTCTGAGAGCTCAAAGTTGCTTATGTGGGAATCTGCCCCTAGTTTTAACCACATCACAACCCAATGAAGTGAGTCAGAGAGACAGAGAGAAAATGACCTAAAAGCAGCAAATGAGATCCATGGTCTAATGGGGACTTCAACCTTCAGCTACTCAGACCTAGTCCCACATTTAAACTACAGCACATATAAAGTAAAATAGAGTAGAATAGAATTCTTTCCCAAAGATGCTTTTTCACGAGGATAGCTGCACTTTCTTGTTTTTCCTTTGAAGACGTTTCGCTTCTCATCCAAGAAGCTTCTTTAGCTCTGCCTGGATGGTGGGGAAATGGAAGGATTTATATTCCTTCTAGACAGCTGGTCATATTGTCTGCAAGCTGTCTGTAAGGAATGAAAATCCAGTCAGCTGAAGAAGCTTCTTGGATGAGAAGCGAAACGTCTTCAAAGAAAAACAAAGTCCAGTTGCCTCGTGGAAAAGCATCTTTGGGATAACTATGACCTGGATGCCTGAGAATCTCCATAGACAATCAATTCTTTATTGGACACAAAAGGAATTTGTCTCTGGTGCATAAGCTCTCAGTGTACAAGCAACAAATGTACAAGCTCTCATAAGCTCTCAGTGTACAAGCAACAAGTGATAAATCATGACCATAATCATAAAATACGATCATCATAAATCATAAGATACAACACTCCTGGATAGTCATAGGACACTAAATAAGCAATCAACATAAATCACACTAGGATACTAAAACCATCAATATAAGTCATAAGACACAAGCAGCAAAATAATAGTCATAAGAAGATAAGAAAATAGGTAATAGGAAAGATGAATGCAGCCCTACTAGGTAATTTGACAGTGTTGTGAGAATTAGTTGTTTAGCAGAGTGATGGCATGGTGGAAAAAAAAAACCCTGTCCTTGTGTCAAGTTGTTCTGATGTGCAATGCGTCATCCTGAGGGGAGAAGTTGAAATAGTTTATGTGCAGGATGTGAGGCGTCTGTAGATATTTTCCCAACCGTCTTTCTGGTTCGTGCAGTGCACAGGTCCTCAGTGGAAAGCAAGCTGGTTGCAATTGTTTTTTTCTGCAGGCCCAACTATCCATTGAAGTTTGTGTCTGTCCTGTTTGGTTGCGATGCCAAACCAGACAGTTACAGAGGTGCAGATCATAGACACAATAATTCCTCTGTAGAACTGTATCAGCAGCTCCTTGGGTAGTCTACGCTTTCTGAGTTGATCTTTCTGAGTTGGTTATGCTTACGATGAGAAGCAAAATGATATGCGAAAGTCTCGCAGAGTTTAAAACCTAAAAAAACTATTGCTGAATTTGCATTTCAAGCCTGCAGAATGTGTGCCTTGGGATTGGCAAAATAATTGTGGACTGCTTATATAGTGAAGAACAGAATCAAAATACAGCTGGAAGGGACCTTGGAGGTCTTCTAGTCCAGCCCCCTGCTCAAGCAGGAGACCCTATACCAGGGGTAGGCAACCTTGGCTCTTTTATGACTCGTGGACTTCAACTCCCAGAATTCCTGAGCCAGCATGGCTGGCTCAGGAATTCTGGGAGTTGAAGTCCACGAGTCATAAAAGAGCCAAGGTTGCCTACCCTTGCCCTATACCATTTCAGACAAGTGGCTTGCCAGTCGTTTCTTAAAAAGTTCCAGTGTTGGAGCATTCACCGCTTCTGGAGGCAGGTTGTTCCACTGGTTAATTGTCCTCACTGTTAGGAAGTTTCTCCTTAATTCCAGGTTGCTTCTCTCCTTGATTAGTTTCCATCCATTGTTTCTTATTTATTTATTTATTTATTTTATTAATAAAATTTATATGCTGCCCAATCCCTAGGGACTCAGGGCGGCGTACAAAATTAAAACAATATAACAATAAAACAATAAAATAAGTGCATTCATACAACATGTCCAATCGTATCCCGACCCCCCCCCCCCCGGGGACATCAACCCCAGGCCTGCCGGAACAGGAGAGTTTTAATGGCTTTCTTAAAGGCCGGCTAGGTGGGAGTAGTTCGAATCTCGGGGGGGGGGGAGTTGATTCCACCAGGTTGGAGCCACCACAGAAAAGGCCCTTCCCCGAGGGCCCGCCAGCCGACATTGGCCGACGGGACCTGAAGGAGGCCCAATCTGTGGGATCTGTTTCTTGTCTTGCCTTCTGGTGCTTTAGAAAATAAATTGACCCCCCCCTCCTCTTTGTGGCAGCCCCTCAAATACTGGAACACTGCTATCATGTTCCCCCTAGTCCTTCTTTTCTCTAGACCGGCTATGCCCAAATCCTGCAACCGTTCTTCATATGTTTTAGTCTCCAGGCCTTTAATCGTCTTAATTGCTCTTTGCACTTTTTCCAAAGTCTCAACATCTTTTTTTGTAATGTGGTGATCAAAACTGGATGCAGTGTTCCAGGCGTGGCCTTACTAAGGGTTTATGAAGCGGAATTAATACTAAATGTGATTGTTGTGATTCCGTGCCAGGCTGTGCTCCCAACAGCTGAGTCTTGGGAATCTGAGGAGGAGGTGGAGGAGGCATTGAAGAGCCCTCAGGGGCAGAGGGAGGCTCTGATGAATTACAGCAGTGTTTCCCAAACTTGACAATTTTAAGGCATGTGGACTCCAACTTCCAGAATTCCACAGCCAGCATTGCTGGCTGTGGAATTCTGGGAGTTGAAGTCCACATGCCTTAAAATTGTCAAGTTTGGGAAACACTGAATTACAGGACTCACGGTTTGATACAAAGCCTGGGCCCTTCAGTCGTGTTCCTGATGAAGCTCAGCTGTGTGAGGAGAATGAGTCAGACTCCGAAGACCCACACCTGATGGACTTGTCAATTTTCAATTAGTAAGAGTAAATCAGCAGCAGTCAATACGGCACCTCCAGAGTAAAAGGAGAAGGCAATGAGAGGCAACGCCTTGGGACTGCTGTATAAAAAGAGGTGTGGGTGGGGCTGGTTGCTGAAGGCAACCGTTTGCAAAGTGCTTCTTGGAATCCTGGTCTGTTCATCTTGCTTGTGAATTCTCTTCTGTTTGCATCGTGTTTCCTGTGGACTATTTCCTTCCTTTGGACTTGAGTTTTGCTATTTGTGTTTTGGACTATTTGACTATTTAAAAGAGGTTTGTTTTGTTGCAAAGTCTCTAGCCCAGTGGTTCTCAACCTGTGGGTCGGGACTTTTGGCAGAGTTGTCATGAAACATTTCTGTTGCAAATTGAAAAGCAACACGGACACACTAAGCCAGTGGTTCTCAACCTGTGGGTCGGGACCCCATTTGGGGTCAAACGACCATTTCACGGGGGTCGCCAAACAATGCAGTCCGCCATTTTTTCCCCCTTTTCCTTAGCTGTGCTATTCCCTTTTATTCTATTGGCTTTCGAAAGCCAATAGAATAGGCTCTCTTGAATAGAGTCTAATTCTATTGACTTTCAAAAGCCCATAGGAATTGTCCAGGCTGTCTCTGCCCTGCTGAGCCCGCCAAAAGTCCCATTCTGCAAACGGGGCTGCACCAGTTGAGTAGTCCTCGACTTGCGACCGGTTGGGGGGGTCGCGGCATTAAAAAGGTTGAGAAACACTGCTCTAGCCTATTGTATCAGCAGGGGTTTGGTCCTTGTGCCTTTAACAAGGATGGCAATAGGCTGGGATCGAACAGTGATTTTGATTCTGTGCCCCTGTTTATGCAACCCAGGATTGTATTAGCTTTTCTGCCTGCTGCCGCACACTGCTGGCTCGTGTTTAAGTGATCGTCCACGAGTGTGGCATTGTTCTTCTCTCATCCTCCTGCAGGTTATTTTATAGTTTTGTTTTGTTTTGACTTGGGTATCTGTGTGCTTGTGAGCTGTAATAGTCATTTATGCATTCATTCGTTCAAATGTGACTATCAGCTAAGCAAAGTAAGTGGCCTGGGCTATTGTACCAGAGAACTCCTTGTGGTGTTGCCTGCTGTATTGTCTGCCTCTGATCTGTTTCCTCCATTGTCTCTTTTGTTTACAGAGAGATACTTTACACCGTTTATGGCCGCCTTGTAATTTAATCCTTGACTGCCTGAGTGGTGCCATCACTTCCCCCCCCCCCAAAAAAAATTCCCACTGCCAATCCCTGGGCAGTTTTTTCCAACTTCCTCTCAGTTCAATTACAGCCATTCAGATATTTCCCCCGGAAGAAAGTGATTGAACGAGCCAGGAAATGTTTCGTATCTTAGTGGAGACGGTGCTGACCCCAGAATCAAAGGAGGAAGCTGTGGATTCGGTAGGGGGCCTTGAGGCAGTGGAGGCTCGCAGCCCTGGTGGCGAACACTGGGAAAAAAATGTCAACAAAATTCTGGGGGAAGAGAAAGGCAACTCCTACGTCCAGCGTCAACATTTCAGGCAGTTCCGCTACCGGAAGTGCGCTGGGCCCCGCACGGTTTACAGCCAGCTTCATGATCTCTGCTGCCAATGGCTGAAGCCAGGAGAGCATACGAAAGCTGAGATCCTGGACCTGGTGGTCCTGGAGCAGTTCTTGACTATCCTCCCTCCCGACATGAAGACCTGGATCAGGGAATGTGGCGCGGAGACCTGTTCCCAGGCGGTGGCCCTGGCCGAAGGCTTCCTCTTGAGCCAAATGGAGGACAAGAAGCCGAAAATCCAGGTGAGGACAGCTTGGTGGTAACTTTCAAGGACCATGAAGCGAGGGATTCACACGTTCCGGCTCAGGAAGGCTTCCCGTTAACATCTAAGGCATGTGGCTCTTGGAGGATCTTGTGGTCTCGGCCGGCAGCATCCATTTGGAGGCGATTCTGGGATGTTTGCGCTACCGAGGGAGCAGTGGCGTCGTTTCTGGGTCACTGCCTTCCACCAGGATCTATCTGATCAGAACCTCCAGATGCTGTTGCCAAAGAGCCAAAAGCTGGGGAGGAATGCAGGCTACCCCCTCCGTAACGTAAAACTTTACTTCCTGCTAGTTCCGAGGGGACGACAACACGCAGTTCCTCCCCAAAACATTCCCCCCCCCAGCTGCACAGTTGTTGGGGGGGAGGTCTCCTTAAAAGAGAGGTCTTTTTGCTCTCCTGTTCCCGCCTTGTATGGATATCTGGTACTGCTTTGCAGGGTCTGTTTGTGGATAACGATTTCCCCCAAATTAAGAAGGCGGCTCCCTCAGATGAAGGACAGAGACAGTTCTTCAAGCAGATCTTAGAGAACGAAGATGCCGTATTGCAGGGTAAGAATGAAAGGGATATAGACTGTTATGGTCTTTATCTATCTATCTATCTATCTATCTTATCTTATCTTATCTTATCTTATCTATTTATCATCTATCTGTCTATCGAATCTATCTATCTAATCTGTCTATCTATCTATCTATCTATCTATCTATCTATCTATCTATCTATCTATCTATCTATCTATCTAATCAGACCGGGATAGTCCTGGTGAATTTCAGACGGTTGGTAAAAAGTTTAAAAGATGCAGCGCCTTTTTAACTCATGAGTCTGTTTTTCCTCGACCTTGGCGATGTGCACTTAAAAGTAAGACATAGCAGGCAGAGGAATTCTGGGAGTTAAAAGTCCACACCTCTAAAATTTACCACGATTGAGACAATGCTCTCAGAAACAATGATTGAGAATGTCTGCAAGGGGAGGGAGTCAAAAAAAAATGTCAAGATGGTGGTGCGGCCTTAACCCCCTTTTTTATGTGCGCAATATGAGAAAAACCAGCCTTTAGAAGGACGGGAACCCGTCAAAACCGCTATGGCAATTCTTTCTATGAAGACGATCATTCTTCCCTGAGGCTCGTAACAGTAGAAAATAAATAGAACCTAGAGTCAGAAGGGACCTTGGAGGTCATCTAGTCCAACCCCCTGCTTGAGCAGGAGACCCTATACCTTTTTAGAGAAATGGTTGTCCAGTCTGTTTTTTGAAAGCCTCCACTGATGGAGCTTTTGGTGACAAGCCGTTCCACTGGTGAATTGTTGTCCCTGTCAGGATATTTCTCCTTAGTTCTAGGTTGCTTCTCTCCTTGAAAGGCGGGGAAGTAACTTGAGGTTTGCTAATGATTCATGCTTACCTCACCTATCACCTATGCATATGTACGACCGTATCACTTTTGTCTCCTTTCCTGAAATGTATATATATGCTTGCATCCTTTTGTCTGTAGGCATCCCTCCCGCCATTTTCTGGAGGGTAAATTCCTCCAGGCTGCACTGAATATATAATAACGGCAGTGAGCCTGGATTGTGGAAACCATCTTGAGATTTTCGACTCCTCCCTTTGCGGAAGCCCCAGCTAGTCACAGCTGGCTGATAAAAGACGTTTCTCCTTAGCAGGTTTTATAATTCATTGTAAAAAAAAAATAATAATTCACCTATTTTGTTCAATAGAAATAAGGTGTCTGGAAGCCGTAAGGAAAATACAACTTGTCAGCCGAGTTGGGCGGCAAAATTTGAAAAATCTCTTGTCAGTCCAGATACATCATATTTCCCAATCGCTTAACATGTGGTGGAAGGGCAAGGTGCTTTATTTCAGTCACTGACTGACTTTACGTACCATAAAACGTGGAACTAAAATAAAAATATAAATAGAGGTAACCCACCACTTACAGCCATTCATTCAGTGACCATTTGACGTTACAACGGCACCGAAAAGTGGTTTATGGTCATTTTTCCTCACAACGGTTGCAGCGTCCCTGTGGGTCACATGATCAAACTTTTGAGGCTTGGCAAAACTGGCTTATATTTGTGATTGCGGTGTTTGCGACCTCCTGACAAGGAAAGCCAATGGGGAAGCCAGGTTCACTTAACAACTGTGTTATTAACTTAACAATTGCAGGGATTCACTTAAACTGTGGCAAGAAAGGTCCTAAAATGGGGCAAAACACACTTAACTGCCCCACTTAGCAATGGAAATGTTGGATTCGGTTGTGGTCGTGAGTTGGGGAACCAAGTATAACACAAAATGGAATAAAAGGTAAATGGAACACAGCCCACAGAAGTGAATGCTTTTGAACACGGATTAACTAGCACTACAGATTCGGTGAAAAAAAAAAAAACATTGAAAATTGAGCTGGAAATAAATAAACGGGAGGAATAAGAGTGGGAGACTCTTGAGTTAAAGAGATCCATAGGATTTGCTTAGCATCTCTAGAGATTGCAGTATGTAAATTTCACAATGTCACAGGTAGTCCTTGACTTACGACCACAACTGAGCCCAAAATTTATGTTGCTAAGTGAGAAATTGGTTAACGTGAGTTTTGCCCCATTGTACGACTTTTCTTGCCACATTTAGAACAGAATGGAATAGGAATATAAATTTATAAGAATAGGAATAGAAGTAGAATAGAGAATAAAATGGAATGGAATGGGAGGATAGGATAGGATTGGATAAATAGAATAGAATAGAATAGAAATATGGAATAGAATAGAATATAGAAATAAATAGAAATATGGAATAGAATATACGAATAGAATAAGAATAGGAAGAGGAATATAAATTTATAAGAATAGAAATGGAACAGAACAGAAAGGAATAGAAATAGGAATACAAATGTATAAGAATAGGAATAGAAGTAGAATAGAGAATAGAATGGAATGGAATGGGAGGATAGGATAGGATAGGATGGAATAAATAGAATAGAATAGAAATATGGAAGAGAATAGAATAGAATATAGAAATAGAATAGAAATATGGAATGAATAGAATAGAAATATGGAATAGAATAGAGTACGAATAGAATAAGAATAGGAAAAGGAATATAAATTTATAAGAATAGAAATGGAACAGAACAGAAAGGAATAGAAATAGAAATAGGAATACAAATTTATAAGAATAGGAATAGAATAAGAATAGGAAAAGGAATATAAGTTTAGAATTAGAATAGAATTAGCATGAAATAGGAATAGAAGAGTTGGAAGGGACCTTGGAGGTCATCTAGTCCAACCCCCTGCTCAGGCAGGAAACCCTATACCATTTCAGACAAATGGCTGTCCAGACTCTTCTTAAAAACTTCCAGTGTTGGAGCATTCACCGATCTGGAGGCAGGTGGTTCCACTGATTTGTTAAGTGAATCACTCCAGTTGCTCAGTTCGTAACACGGTTGTTAAGCGAATCCGGATTTCTCCATCGAGTTTGCTTGTCAGAAGGTCAAAAAAGGGGATCCCATGATCCCCGGGACCCTGCACCCGTCGTAAACAGGAGTCAGTTGCCAAGCCTCTGAACGTAAATCACGTGACCATGGGGATGCTGCAGTGGTCGTGAGTGTGAAAAAATAGTCATGTCACTTTTTTCCAGTGCCGCTGTAACATAGAACCAGTCACTAAGCCAGTGGTTCTCAACCTGTGGGTCGGGACCCCATTTGGGGTCGGAACGACCATTTCACGGGGGTCGCCAAACAACGCAGTCCGCCATTTTTTTCCCCCCTCTACCTTAGCTGTGCTACTCCCTTTTATTCTGTTGGCTTTTGAAAGCCAATAGAATAGACTCTCTTGAATAGAGTCTAATTCTATTGGCTTTCAAAAGCCAATAGGAATTGTCCAGGCTGTCTCTGCCCTGCTGAGCCCGCCAAAAGTCCCATTCTGCCAACGGTGCTGCGTCAGTTGAGTAGTCCTCGACTTACGACCGGTTGAGTAGTCCTCGACTTATGACTGGTTGGGGTTTGCGGCGTTAAAAAGGTTGAGAACCACTGCACTAAGCCATTGGTTGTGAGTGGAGGGTCACAGATTTTTTGTTTGTTTGTTTGTAAAGCCTTCGTTTCTGTCACTGCAACTTTGCAGACAGCACTGGATTTGCGGTGTGTTTGTGTGTGTGTGTGTCAAAGTTAGCTCTCTTCTGAGGACAGTGGGAAAAGAAACCAATACTGAGGTAAACAAAGCATGGTTTGTTGGAAGGTCTCCTGCGCTGTGAGAATAAAAGAAACAATGGCCTCGTAGGTGGGTCTTGTCCAGATCCACCTTTTCAAATGCAAATGAAGCAACAACTTCCCCACTACCATTTTTGTCCATTTACAGGCAATGAGAAATCCCTGGCGAGGGATGTGTCTTCTTTTGTTTCTGAGGTGTTTCCTTCAGCTCAGCCCACTCTGGTAAGAAGAAAAGGGTTGGGGTTAAAAATGGGTCAGCCACTGCATATTTTCCTGGGCCTGCCTGGCTCCCCTTTCCCCCACCCGCCCTCCCTCCATTTTCCTTTCCTTTTCTCCCTCTTCCCTTTTCTCCCCCCTCCTCCAGGGTCCGCTGTCTTTTGAGGACGTGGCGGTGTACTTCACGGAGGAAGAGTGTCCCGTCTTGAACGCAAGCCAGGTAGCCCTGCAACTGGAGGTCATGGTGGAGAACTACCAAAACCTGAGCTTTTTAGGTGAGTCCCCATGTGGGGTCCCAACAGGCTGAAATCCATCGTCTTTAGCAACACGCTCCATTCCCCACCGTCCAGTCGGAGCTGAAGAAGCTTGTTGGATGAGAAGCGAAACCTCTTCAAAGAAAAATCGGAAGGTCCAGTTGCATCCTGAAAAAAAGCACCTTTGGGATAGCTGTTAAGTGAATCTGGCTTCCCCAGTGACTTTGTCTGTCAGGTCACAAAAGATGATCACAAGACCCGCACGCACACACACACCTCGGGACACTTCAACCGTCGTAATTATGAGCCAGTTGCCAAGCGTCCGAATTTCAGTCCCGTGACCGTGGGGATAAGTGCAAAAGCGGGATCATAAGTTACTTTTTTTTTCCAGTGCCGTTGTAATTTTGAACGGTCGCTAAGTTGTACATTGAGGACTTCCTGAATGAATTTCAAATCAGAACGCAAACAGAGGGCGCTTAGCACTGGAAATCTGAAAGTACGAAAGAAAACATTTACAGAATCTAAGCGTAGCCATAGAACCTGGGTCTTTCTCAGTCCCAGTCTTGACAACTTCCCAACTACACAACACTGGCTACTATTCACTGCAAATTATGTGCTTTTCCAATAAGCAGTGTTCTGCTTTCACTATTATAGTTTTCAGCGATCACTTTCCTATAGTCTCGAGCGGTTGTTTTCCGTGTTAGCTCGGGAATTCTTGGAGTTGAAGTCCAAGGATATCAAGGTTGAGAAAAGCCGATCCGGGGCTTTTGACTTCCTCTTAATGTCACTCGCCGAAAGCTTTTCCTCACTTGACCAATTTTCTTTTCAGGTTTTCTCTTGGTCTTAACGTTTTTGTTTTTGTTTTAATCTTACTCTAGGGAGGGGCGCACGGCAGAAGGAGGATGAGTCCCAAAGAATCTCCTTAAAAAGAGGCAGATCCACCCAGGAGGAACCGCAGAGCGCGGGAACGGAGGATCGGCCAAAGTGCTTGAGATGGGATGAATTCTCTCTTTCCGAAAGCCCTGGTTTCCAAGGTGTAACAGTGCCTCCCCAAAGATATCCGGCGAATACATCTTTAGCTTCGGCAAGCAGGAACTTTCCTAAAACCCCAATCCAGGGAAAACTAACCACGAGAAACACACCCTTGGTTTCGAAGAGCGTGAATTCTCCTGAAACGCTCAACCATGGGAAATTAGCTCCAAAACCGAGAATGAATACGTGTCCCATCTGTGGGAAAAGCTTCGCTCATAAGTCTCTACTGCATGAACATGAAAAAATCCACGCCAAGGAGAAACCTTTTAAATGCTCCGAATGTGGCATAAGCTTCAGTCAGATGGCAACCTTGACCTCTCACAAACGCATCCACACGGGTGAGAAACCCTATCAATGCTCATCGTGCGGAAAGAGTTTCAGTCACAGCATAACTCTCCATTCTCATCGAAGGAGCCACAAAATTTAAAATTCATGCAAGTGGCAAGAGCTGCAATCAAAATCCAAAGCTTCCCAGACTGGCGAAGATTCATGCAGGGCAGAAACTGATGGGTATATGAGTTGTGGAAGTTATCCACCTAAGCTTTAGGTATAAACTCTTAACAAATCTCTATAAACCCTTTTTTTTTGGGTGGGGGGACAGCTGCCTGAAATGTTGATTTTGATTCCCTCTACACCGGGGGTCGGCAACCTTAAACACTCAAAGAGCCACTTGGATCCGCTTCCCACAGAAAACACTGGGAGCCACAAAACCCACGCGCACACACGCGTGCACGGGGGGGGCCTTGATTGAAGAGTTTAATTAAAAAGAAATAGAGGCTGCTGTACATGAGTTCTCCCTCTCCCTCCCTCTCTCCCCCTTCCCTCTTTCCCCCCCCCCTCTCTTTTCTCCCTCTCTTTCTCCCTCTCCCTCTCTCTCTTTCCTCTCTCTCCCTCTGTGATCTTCTGCTTACCTGGCAAGCTGGCTTCATGCTGTTCTCCGGCAAGCTGACACACATTCTTATTGGGTTGGCTCTCTCCTGCCCTTGGTCTGTCAGTCCTCTTCCCCCACTCTGTGTGTGTGTGTGTGTGAGAGAGAGAGAGAGAGAGAGAGAGCTGCTGCTTCCTGCACAGACGCAGCAAAGGCAGGAGCCCCGCCCAATAAGCTTGTCAACTTGTCGGAGAACAGGATGAGGCCACTCTCTTTTTTACACACACACACACACACACACATACACACAGAAGGGAAGCACAAGTGCCTCTCTCTGTCTCTCTCTGCAAATGGTGGAGGAGGACTGGGAGCTGCAGGAGAAGGCTCAAAGAGCCACATGCAGCTCTGGAGCTGTGGGTTGCCGACCCGTGCTCTACACACACACACACACACACACAAATCTCCCGAAGTTCTTTTTTTAGCTAGTTTTATTGAGTTGAGAGACAGATTGGATTATTTTAATGGTTAAGCTTAAATGCTTTTATATCTGTTTTTTCTACTGTTGTAAGCCGCCCAGAATCACCTTGAGGCAGTGAGACGGGGAGGCATATACATTTAAAAACTAAATGAAAAATAAAGAAATAAATAAACTAAAATCACAGCCAGTGAATTCTTTTCAATGTATGTTAGGGCAAGAGCGAGTTTGGTGTAGAGTTTTTAAGACGACAATGGAGAAGCCAGGTTTCGGGGACGTCAACTGTCCAGTTAGCATTTCCAGAAAATGAAACTCCTGGGACATGATTTTACCAAGTCTACTGAAAATTTACATCGGCACAGAAGAATCGAAACCAGCTCTGGTTTTCCCACCCAGAGGCTTCCTTAATTAAACAATAGATTTCCTCGCTCCCATCCACCGAGTGTTCGCATTGTCCAATACTCTGTTTCCCCAAAAATAAGACCCTAGCATGATTTTTCAGGATGCTGGTAATATAAGCCTTATCCCAAAAATAAGCCCCAGTTAAGACTGTCAGTCATACGGACGCATTTAGTACTATATTTCCATGAAAATAAAACCTAACTGGAAAATATGACCTAATGTGTCTTTTGGGGCAAAAATTAATATAGGATCCGGTCTTATTTTCGGGGAAATGTAGTAATACTTCTTGTTATGGAAACAGTCCACTTCTCCGTTGAGCACCTGCATCAGGGTCATTCCATGTCAAGTGGTCTGATTTCAGAAAAGTGTCCTGCTCAATCATCACGGATTTTGATGAAATTTTGTGTGAACATGCACACATGTCCCCAATGAACATTGGTAAAGTGTTACGTTTGCTGGTGCAATACTTGCGGAGATATAGTCATTTCTTTGACCCCATACCGTAGCCTTCTACAGATTCCGGCAACTTTGAGACATAATATCTCTGGCAATATTTTGTTGGAAGAAACAAAACTTGGCCATCTTGTACAACTTTTTCTGCTCTATTAAACAAAATAATAAACACATTGTCATGAGCAATCTCCATCTAGATCAGGGGTGTCAAACTCAATTTCATTGAGGGCCACATCATTGTGGTTGCCCTTGGGCCAGTGGGTGCAGCCTACTGGGTGGGCATGGCCAGCTCTACATCGTTCGCGTCAAGGGTGCCTGTGGGGGCCTGGGCAGGAGTGGGACAGATCTGAGGATCTCTGGCAGAAGGGGGTGGGACCGGGGCAAGCGTCAATGCATGGTCCGTTTCTTCATTCCTCACAAAGGGTGACACCTCCCTAGCATGCACCCAGGGGGTGGGGGCAACACAGCAGGGGCTGGTTCCTCAGTGTTTCTAATCTAGACGGCCTTGTGGAGCTAAGACTGAAAATGTTTCAGCATAGATGGCCACCACAAAATTGTACATTGGCTCCCGCCCGGTCTGGACCAGGGCCAAGGCAGCGGGGGCCATTCCCTCACTGTTTCCAGGATGGCTTCGTGGGCCACATGAAACCACTTCACGGGCCGCATCCAGCCCCCAGGCCTTGTGTTTGACATGTCTGATCTAGATAATTTGGAGCAAAGTTGGCTGAAAATATTGCGACTCAAAAAAAAGTTTAAAGTTTGGCTTTTTATATCTCTGGAAGGAACGGTATGATAAACATGAAACTTTGCGTGTAATAACTTAGCAACACAAGGTTTTCAAACAAAAAATTTCATTCTACTGCTTTCCAATAGTTTACAAACTGAGTGTAAATTTGACGTTTTTTGTAAAAACACCAAAATAGGGTATTTTTCAGTCTGCTTTTACAAAAAAAGTCCTGGAAACTCTGTTAAATCATTCTCATTAGAAAGAGGATGTTTCAAACCCCCTGAAAAAGTAGGATTGGTTTTTCATCGCTGAAGTATAAAGCCCTAAAAATAGGGACAAAGTTGATATCGCTATGGCAATGTCACATGTATTCTGTTATTATTTTTTGTCTTGTTTGTTTTATATAGACATTACTACTATTATATTGCATTGGTCCATGGTGACATTGTCACTACTAGTTCAGGCACGAGCCAGCAACCCCATTGCCATAGGGGGCACGCCCAGTAGCCGTGCAACACCAGCCACGGGTAGGCTTCTTGATTCAGGATCCCAAGCCTGCAGTTTGATTTCTTCCCCGAGGTTCTAAAGCCTTTTTGTGGGTATCTTATATGGTTCCCAAGCCAACATCCATAATGTTTGTATGAACTGCCAAATTTCAATAATCGCTTATTTATTATTGAATTTATGTGCCATGTTCTTTAGCATCGCTTTTGGGAATTGATACTGTCGACCTGACGACATAACTGAGTTCATAGAATTTGAAAAAACCAATTTCAGTACCGTATTTGATTCTATACGCCACATACAGTTCTTTCAGATTGCACAGTAGCAACCACTTTTGTTTGTGAACCTTGACGCCATCAAGCTGAACGGAAACACAATCCTTTTCGCCAGGGCACATCCTGCTAAATCCATCATCCTTGTAGAAATCTCAAACTCTGTCGGCGATTTCCTTTGGCAGGGGTTTGCCAACTTTTGCATCTGGTAGTGCACAAATGCTTCTCTCTTTTATTTTTCTCACTGTTTTAACCATATGTTCTGAAACGCCAAATGTTTTTGCTGTCACCGGTATTGACCAATTCTTTGGGGCTGAGGGAAGTCAGAGCCCCAGAGAAGGAAATATTAAAAGGGCAGGAAAATATATTTTTTTCACCAAAAGGATTTTGAAAAGCATTTTTTTGAAAAGCAGAAACCAAACCTGGCCCCAAATCTATCTCTCTGCCCCAAGGAGTAGCCAGTCCTATACAAATGCAAATGTAAAACCATCAGAAAGTTGGAGCCAGAGAACTCAAGAAAATAAAGAAAAATCTGCATACCCCACCCAAACTCTAGGAGTCATTAGCCCAGCTCCAGGGAAGCAGAATATGACTTTTGGGACATAGGACTAACTCATTACCATCAAGTATACCAGAGAGGCACTCCTAGGCTCAGGTCAGAATACGTGACACAGGAAATAGCCTCAAAGTTCATGCCATAGGAACAGGAAACTTCCAAACAAAAGGCTAGAGAGGGTATAAAAACCCCTTGCCCATGTGCTCAGCTTTTCTCTCCTCTGCTCTTTCTGCTTCTTCAATAAACTGTATCCATCTTCTCAAAGCAGTCGCCATGTTGCTTATTTATTCCCGGCTTGGATGAACCAGTATGAAGATTTACTTCTAACAGGGCCAAAGTCAAGAATTGAACTTTCGTTGATCTAGTGGATATTTTAATTTTCGTTTTCATATTTTTGATTAGGTCAGTGTAATCCTGACATGACTGTCATTCCTTAGCAGCAGACTCATTAGTTTGCCCAATATCTTCAGCTGCTACTCTAGCGGCTAACGTTATTTTGTCTGCTACCACTTTCTGCACACATTCAATTTTTCGTTTCACATAGCCAGTTTTATCCCTACTGCTCAACTTACAAATTTTTAATGGAGAAGTCCCTAAATCGGTCAAACTGTCTGAAATGTCCATATCGTAATGCTTTGGACCATGGAAACATATTTGGCTTTACACTTGGAGCAAATCTTTTGACCCGGCTTCACATTTGTTTTCGCCACTTTTGTTAAATCATTGGACATGGCTAGATCAACTTTCAACAGCCCGTGTTTACTTATGTGATTTTGTTTGTTAAATGTGTTGCAGCCACACAAGACTTTGGAACCTCGAGGAAGAAACCAAACTGCAGACTTGGGATCCTGAACCAAGAAATCTACCCGTGGCTGATGTTGCACGGCTATTGGACGTGCCCCCTATGGCGATGGGTTGCTGGTTCAAGTGCCTGAACTGCTAATGACAATGTCACCATGGACCAACGCAATATAATAGTAGTAATGATGTCTATATAAAACAAACAAGACAAAAAAAAATAATGAATACATGTGATATTGCCATAGCGATATCCTCAACTTTGTCCCTATTTTTAGGGCTTTATACGTCAGCGATGAAAAACCAACCCTACTTTTTTAGGGGGGTTGAAACATGCTCTTTCTAATGAGAATGATTTAACAGAGTTTCCAGAAGGTCTTTTTTTGTAAAAGCAGACTGAAAATACCCTATTTTGGTGTTTTTACAAAAAACGTCAAATTTACACTCAATTTGTAAACTATTGGAAAGCAGTAGGAGAATGAAATTTTATATTTGAAAACCTTGTGTTGCTAAGTTATTACACGCAAAGTTTCACATTTATCATACCGTTCCTTCCAGAGATATCAAAAGCCAAACTTTAAACTTTTTTTTGAGCCGCAATATTTTCGGCCAACTTTGCTCCAAATTATCTAGATGGAGATTGCTCATGACAATGTGTTTATTATTTTGTTTAATAGAGCACAAAAAGTTGTACAAGATGGCCAAGTTTTATTTCTCTCAACAAAATATTGCTGGAAATATTATGTCTCAAAGTTGCTGGAATCTCAAGGGTCATACCTACTGTAGAAGGTTGTGGTATG